CTGAAGACCATCACTTCCTAATTATTGGCATACTACACATTGACGGTAATATTACACATAAATATCCAAAGAAATTCTCCATCATATCATGCATCATTTCTTTAATGTAATATCCATCACCTAATAAATGAGTGTTTGGACAAATATTAAATCCAGCTCAGATATTTAGATAAATACAAAAATTGTTGGTTATGCAGAAGTGTACATTTAAAATGAATGTGCATGTGGACATTCTGTGCACTGGCACATGACTAAATCGCTTTAATTATAATCTTGACATCATTCTTCTAATAAAACAGCAATGACGACAAAGAGACTGCTTTTAATAGACAATCCAAATACCCCCTCATTATCCTATGAAATAAAATGTCTGCCTTTACTGCCCAGAATAATTTCTAAAATCTTCTTATTGTTTCTGTAAATGTTAAGTCATACAAAATATTAGCCCAGGAAAGTGATGCAAGTTCTTCAAAAATTTGGTTCTGTATAACTTTCCTATGAAAAAAAAATCAATTTTCAAAGTAAATTGCTATTCTGTGTGGATTATGAACCATAAAGTCATCGAGTGTGAATACAAAGCCGAAATCATTGAGTACTTACAAAAATTGTATTTCTTGTATTTGAAAGTGGTTTTAAATTGTTTTAAAGTCATAATTCACATAAAGTTATTCTAACATGGATGCCCATTTATGTTCTGTTCACATGGTCAAAATAACAATTAACCACAATTAGATCATTTAAATTTTTAATTTAAAAAACTGAATTTTACTCATTTGAATATATGTTGAATCATGTCTCCAAATACATTTAAATGTTTTCTTAATCATACATTCTTGTTTCTCTAATCATTCATTTAACTATACATAAATGACTGAATAACAATCAGTTGATCCTCAAATGAAATGCTGATCATGAAATCAAACAATGTTACTTTTATATAGTTAAGAAGATAAAAAAAAATAACACTAAAATGTGCTGGCTGATTTTTCACATTTACTGAATACCAATTTTTTAATTCAATATTTTACTGCTGCATTAAACTTTGAAGAATTTAGTAAGGAAAATCCATTGCATGAGAGTGAGATTTTTAGACATTTGCTTTCTGAATCTGCCTGCTCTGATGTTAAAAACTCCAAGTTTTGCTGCACAAGAAATTAAAAAAAAAAAAATCACAGTGCCTTAGCTTGAGAAAAAAAAACGATCTAAAACAAGATAACTTTTCCCATTTGGTTTGGGTCTTTTTTTTCATCATTTTCTTAATAATCCTCAGAAAAATCTCCCTACAATTAGTTTCTGAGGTAAAAAAGCATCAAGGAAAAATATTGCATAGCCCTTTGGAATTGCGGTGATGTAAAGCTTGATTTATTTAATAGAACAATGTATAGTCAAGATTTTTTTTAGTCTTACTATTCTTTAGTAGCTAAGGCAGGTATTATTTTCCAACTTCTTTTATGGGAAGACAAGTTTGAATATTTTGAAAATTAGCTAATAACAAAATAGTTAATATAAAGCACTGCTAGAGTTCTCATGACTCTCAGTACTTTCAAAGAAACAATCATGTATGTATTTTATTCATTCACCTTTCTTCAGTGCACATTAATAAAAATATGTCCTGAGCCGAATGAATCCAAACACCACTTGGTGGCAATACATTAAGGTCTTCGAAAATGACCAATTTGAAAATGGTCCATTTTGCATCTTCTGGAATAGTGTAGGAAGCATTTCAAATTAGAATATCCTAAGTCAGGACTTGTACTCTCTCTTAGTTAACTGACAGAGAGAGAAAGAAATGCTTATTATGTAGGAAAATAAAATTGCCAATGACACCATTACAAATAGGCCTTCCATTGAACAATACATTATGGAAATTTATTCATCAGGAGATGAAGATGAATCTCTTTTCTCAAATCAGAATAGCATATAAGAGTTTCCACTCACTGAACATATATATACTTTTTCCTTGCATCCCCCTTTAGCCAGAAGAGCTAAGAAGTCATGAGTCCTCAGTGACAATCCTCCTTAGCCAAGTCTCCATTGATTCATGTCTCATTTCTTTGAGCATCTCTCCAGGCTCTTCTGATCCACTTTTCACCTCCTTTCATAGCATCATTTTGCTCATACCCTACATCTCTTTTCTCTTACTGGCTTCATGTCTCATCTACCTTATTTTGTCTCTCTTGAGTCTCATTCCTATTCACATCCCTCACCTTTCTTTTCACTGACTAGAAAAGTCATAGAGATAATGTTGATCTAAATAATAATTTCACAATTTTATAAAATCACTCAGATGTTGGGAATGATTTAAGGCACACGTTTCTGTAAATAATGTTACCTAAAGTCGTAAAGCCTCCATTATAAGCACTATCATATTTTGTAGGTTTTAACAACATGGTTATGAGGGCATTTTGCAGTGACAAAATTCAGTAATGTTATTTTATCATTAACAAGCTTTTCCCCAGATATTGTGGGCTGTTTGTTGTTGTTGTTGTTGTTGTTACTCTCTAGAAATTGCAATATAGGTGTGTTTCTAGTAGTTTTCCTCATCTCCATTCATGGACTGAATTCATAGAATATACTTCATAAATTTTTACAGTCATATATTGTAACACATGTAACACACTTATAGAAAATGCATGTTAATCAATAACATACCCATCAAGAAATAAATGCAAAAGGAGGAATAGGCATCATATCTCATACATATTTCTTCTTATATTCTTAAGATTTCCCTATCATCTTTATACATGCATATACACAAAAGCAATTTAAGACCCCAAAAAAGTTAGCATTGTAAATGCTGTGATAAGGAGTAAATAAAACTTAACTGAATTAAAATAATAACCTAAAAACATATCATAAAATAGGGTCCAAAAAACAGTATAAGAACACCTGCCTCTTGATATAGAGTAATTTATCATTTTTCCCTTCGGTAAGTTGCTCTAATAAAAATTAATTAAAGAAAACTTTCTACTTAGAGGAAAGCATCAAAGTCACATTAAAATACTAATCTATTTATTTTTAAATGAAAGTCATAGATTTTGCTCAAGGATGTGTAAATTAATTATTAAGGTAGGACAAATTTCCTGTGTGTAATAATTGTTCCACTTTAATAATGGCTGTCTGTAAGAGAGAAGAGGGAAGGGAGGGAGGAGGAGAGAGAGGAGGAGGGGGAGGGAGTGAGGGGGGAAAGAAAGGTTTTCAGGTCTGCAATTGTTTAAATGTATCTTTTTGAACTGGCAACACATGAACTAGATGGCCCTCATCTGAAGTCCCTGGTAACTTTCTGAGTTTGTGCATTAGTAAAGTGCTTTGTGGTAAAAATAAGATTTCCTTCCTACTCTTACAACTTATAATTGCTTATTTTATCAAGGGAGCAGTTATCCTTTGTGTTTTAAGACCACCTATCTACCTTAAGAATATTTGATCTAATAAACCAGGTTTGTAAGCCCCAGATATGAATCACCTAGAGGTTCTCATATAAACAGGTTTCTGTTTAATTGCTAGAACACAGGACACTGCTCAAAGTGGGGGAAGAAAGGTTCCTTTGTAAGTTCTGTAGCATTATCTTATTGTAGCAGTCAGCAACAGTTTGTCTACAAGGTGTCAGTATACTTCAACTATACATGGTAATTTGGGTTTTACAAGGGATGTTGACAACCGAGTTCCTTTTAGTTGGTAAATCCAGGGTTCTTATGATTTAAAGTTGCATTGTGAGAAAGTCAACCTCTGCAGAAGTTTTCTGCAAAATGATCAACAGTAATGCTGTTTTACAACAAAACCCTTTGCTCCCTTTAACCTGATGATGATTTCTTGGTTTGTATGCCAAATGTGTACATGCCTGACAGATGTTACCTGACTGGAGATGGAATAAACACTACGGGGACTAATTAACAGGTCTTTAAAAGTCAAATAATCTTGAATATAGTTTATTTTACTTTCTTTTTTAAACTTAGAAACATTGAATACAATTTGCTTATGGACGTACACCAATGGACATTTATTCTACTGTCATATGAAGGAAGAACACTTACAACAACAGAAGCTGGTCATCATCATTTAAGAAGTCCCCTCTTTGGGGGAAAAGGATCCTTCCAACTGTTTGCCTGGGGAGAAGAGCTGGAAGCATCCTCTCCAACTTCTACATCAACCCTCAACCAGTTCCCAGTCCCAGCGTTTCATGCCCCACATTGCCCTCTGCAGATGACCTAAAAGGGACGATCCCAGGAAAGTGACATCTGTCGTCGTTCTTTTTAAAAAAATGGGATCCATCGACTTTACAGTATTGTGAACCGGGGGAGCTTGGCATAGCAGGCATATGCACACATCCTCACAGGCTCGCTCTCCCTCACACACGCGCTCTTGCTCTCTCTCTGTCTCTATGTCTCTGGCTCTGCTCTCTCTCTCTCTCTCTAAACACACGCACACTCATACACACACCACCACAACCACCACCGTCACACACCCCACGTACTCTAACAACAAGCACACAGGATGGGGAACGAATCACCCTCTGGGATGGATTCTAAACTTCCGACCCTCTGCAACCCCCAAATGTTGTGTTCTGGATTTAGCTAGCTTAGGAGCCCAGTTTACAGCTCTGCCAGCCTTCTCCCCTACAAAGTCCCTGGTGTCTGTGTTCAGGAGAAAACCTTTTCGACCCGTACGGCCACAAAAGAGGAATGAAAACCACATAGAGAAATTAACAAATAACCAGAAGCAGCCAATAAGCCATGCAATATATGGGCGAAAGGCTGTAAAGTTTCAGTAGAGGACAGCAAACTGAAGTTTGTGCGGGGCTTATCTTAGACCCAAGCCCTGCCACTGAGCAGGGACTAGAAGGGATGGGCAATTAGTCCTTCTAGTCCTCTTTCCCCACCGACTTAGAGCGTGAAGAGTAGAGGCAAGCTAGTTAAGACACTCTGCAAAGTTGGATGAGAGTGATGAAACATACAGAAGAGGGCAAAGGGGGGGAAGAACAAGCTAAAAAATGAGTATCTCACCTGGCATTGGTGCAATCGGTGAACAAAGTTTCGAAGTCTTTTCTGGTGATGAGTTTGCAGCGGTTCACCCCAGGCTGGATGGCCCCCAGACCGCGGAGGATCCGGACCTGCTCCACAGTACACACCACAGGGGATATGTCCAGTCTCTTCAGCTTGGTGTACACCGTGTGCAACCCTCCCACCAGGTGCTTAAGGAAGAGATCAAAGACTTGCGGCAGGCAAATCAGTTCCTGACCGTCCATCAAGAACGAAGCCACCTTCACACCATGCATGTCGACCATCCTGCACTCGTTGGTGTTAGTGTTGCCGCTGCCTCCGCTGGCTCCACCGATCCCGCCACCCCCGGCGCTGCCGCTGTGGTTATTGGCCATGAAACTGTTGATCATATTAGGGGTGAGACGAGGAGGCTCCCCGGGAGTCGAGTACAAGCTTTCTGCCCGAAATAAGCCCCCTGGGACGCCGGCACCGCTGGAAGTTGTAGAGATCACCGGAGGTGCGGAGACAGCCATGGTCATTCAGTCTCAAACCGTAGGTTTTTGGGCCCTGTTTTCTCGCCCTGTCTCCTCTAGATCTGCTCGCACTCTCTCACACCCTCACTCTCTCGCGCTCTCTCTGGCGCGCTCTGCTCTCTCCAAACTGTTCTCAAGTCTACAGTAGCCCGGCTCACACGCTCACGCTCACCCACCACCCAACGAACAGCTAGTAGCCCGGACGCGCGGCGGTCCAAGAACCCACCCCCAACACACCCCCTTCCGAGACTGGCAGCATACCCCAGCCAATGGACTCCACCCCTTTCGGCTCCCAAGCGCACCGAATGGCTGCTCCCCGCAAGGAGGTGGAGACTCTCTGGTCAGCCTCCCAACTACCTGAGGCCTTTCTGGGTTCGCTGGCGAAGGAGGATGGAGCCCGAGAAGGGGGCGGTATGGTTCCTCCGCTTCTTGCCTAGCAGTCAGACGAGAGAACGGCCAATTATCACGCAGAGCTCTCAAAGTGGCCTAGGCTACAAGCCCCTCCCCCTCCATGCCCCACCAGTGTTGAGGTGGGAACACAAAGCAGGACTCCAAAACATGCCTCTCCGCAACCCTGCGCCACCCTGCACCTGGGTTCAATTCAAGAAAGGGTGGTAGCAGCTCCAATTACATTTGCACGGTGCTCCCATACTCTGCGGGGCTAAGATAGCTTCGCCCCGCTTCCAGGAGAAAGATTCTAGTGAGTTCCGAAGTAAACAGTTCAGGCCACCTAGAGCGCTTAGTGTGAGTTCTCCAATACCCAGCGCACATGGGAACCAGCATCCAAAACCGCACTCAAATCAGAGTTGCAGGTTGCTAACCGGCTCCTGCGCGCTATTAGCAGGCGCAGGGAGCCTGTGATCACTTTGGAAAAACAGGCTGAGGGACTTTGGTTTGCGAGTGGTGGACGGATGCCTCATTTTACAGTACTTCCACCACTGTCCTGGAATAGACTCAGTTTTCTCTGTCTCCATTCCTTAGTTTCAAGATTGTCCTGCCCCATCCCTGGCTAAAATTGATAGGAAAAGTTCCCGTGTGACTCAAAACAGTCATTACAGATATGAGAGAAGAGCAAGCGTTTGCGTTCTTTAATACTGCATTTTCTTCCCTTGTCTATGGGCTTTGATGGTCCGGTAATTAGAGCTCCACGTCCTGCACTGAAGCTCAAGATTCCTTTTCCCCCACGTGTCAAGTACTCCTAAACGTTTGCACTACTAGAGCTTGTGATAAGCAAAATGTCTAGGCAAGGTACATTCCAGGGGAAAGGCATGGTCTTTCCCACACAGCATTTGGCAGTTAAATCACTGTAGCAAAATTGTTTTAAGACTTCTTTTCCAGCTTTTGAGTCTCTGAAATCAAGGTATTTCCTTTCTTCTGTTTCTTTCCTTCACAGGCTGTTATTCAGAAAGTGAAATCCATGCTTGGTTTTAACCAATAATATAGCTAAGGCAACTTCTCCAATATCCTTCCAAAATGTAAATAATTTTAGATCCTTGCTGAATTCTATTTAGATCTCCTTGTACTTAGCAGTATCAAAAAGTAGGAGTGGGTGGGCTTCCCCCTCCCCTTAATAAGACCTAAATGTCCTAAATTGGATTTTTCTGCCTCTCTCTTCAACACATTTCTCCTTTTGTCATTTCAACCAAGTAGTAAAGAACTACTCTTTGAATCGCTTCATACTGTTACAATTTTAAAAGATTTATTTTATTATTTATTATTTTAATTATTATGTTCAATTAGCCAACATATAGTAGTACATCATGAGTTTTTGATGTAGTGTTCAACGATTCATTAGTTGCATGTAACACCCAGTGCTTTGTTTATTTTAGAGGGGGAGAGAGAAAGAGAGAGAGAGAGAGAGAGAGCATCAGCAGGAGGGGCAGAGGGAGAGGGAGAGAGAGAATCTCAAGCAGACTCCCTGCTGAGGGTGGAGCCCCAGGAGGGGCTCCATGCGAGCTTGATCTCATGATGCTGAGATCACCACCTGAGCTGAAATGAAGAGTCAGACATTTAACTGACTGTGCCACTCAGGCACCCCTACTGCTACAATTTTAACTGTATGGAGTTAAAATGCGAAGACGTTGTGATAGTTGCTTTTAGAATACAGTAATAAGTGACTCTAACATAACAGGCTAGAATGCATGCAACCACAAAACACTTTTAAAAGGTATTAAATCATTTTTGGTAGTTTGGTATTGTGGGAAGAAAATATAGAGCAAAAAAGGACAATTGAGAAAGGATATCAGAGGCAGAAAAAGCTGCAAGGGGTTTTCAAAAAGTAATAGAAAAGCACTGACAGAAATGTTTTTATTTACCAGTTTTTAAAAAGATAAATCCTAAATTGTGTTCAACAGGTGTTTTGACAGAAATGGCTATTAAGCTGTTTGTTAATATAACTTACCTCTGATAACTTGTAATTGAAATTTTAGGTAAGTTTGACTTTAAAGAAAGTTGTTTTCTCTTATTTTTTGGGGGGGGGGAATTCCTCTAAATTCATTAATAATCCTAAGGCCAAGCTACTCCCTATAAATGGCTGCACTCACATTATCAAATTCTTTTTATTTGCAAAGTGATGTGGAGTTTTCAGCAATAGGACATTTACACATATATTATAATGTTTCAAATTTAAGAAATGCTGAAATATAAAAAGGAAAGGTAGAACATTCAGCTTGCAATCACTATTTGCAATACTGAAAAACAAATGCACTTTGACAACTTTAGAAAAGACTCAAACTAGATATGTCTTATATGTTTAATGTGATCTATCATATACGTAGTAATATTTTATTTTATTTTATTTTATTTTTTAGAGCACAAGTGGGGGGAGGGGCAGAGAGAGAGAGAATCTTCAGCAGGCTCCATGCCCAGCATGGAGCCCAATGTGGGGCTCAATCTCACAACCCTGAGATCACAACCTGAGCTGAAATCAAAAGTTGGATGTTTAACCGACTGATCCACCCAGGTGCCCCTGTAGTAATATTTTAATTATTACCAGAGATTAAGGTTCAAATTTTAGTAAAAATACTAATGACTAAAATTGGCCATCGATCATTTAAGGGTTAAAGTCCCTTGGAAGCCTGTCCATACAAAAAAGACCCTTGGCCTCATTATTTGAATTCCTTCCCATTCGCAGTCCTCTAGAAAATAAACTTGGTAATTGTCTTAAGGGATACTTCTGATTTAAAGATTTAGTCATTTAGATCTAAGAAGCCAGATGTTGTCTCCTTGGGTTTTCTTGATATTTTGATTACTCTCTTTCTATTACTGCTACTACAACTCCTGTTATCTATGCTTTGAGATTGAGATAAATTCCACATGGAGAGTTTGTTTTTATCCCTTTCTGACTTTCATGTCTTCCATAAGTTTAACATATTTCTAAATAAGGCTTGGTTTCTACAAGGCCAGAGGAATCCTTGTGCATCAACACCCTGGAAGTTGGAATTTCATGAAGCACTATAAAATCACAAAAGCTGCAGTAAACAGAGTACCCCTGGGAGATGACTCTCCATGGAGAGAGGCACTGCACCAAAACTAAGAAAAAACTCAAGGTGTATGAATTATTTCCAGACAAGAGCAGATCACCCCAGCAAAGAAGAGAACAAAATTAGTACAGATCTCATATCTCATCAGAACAAATTCTAGATGGCACTATTCCAGTGGAATGATTTGGGGCCTAAGTGTAGCTTCCCACACTCTGAAATGCTGCAGTTTTTCAAGATTTAATTAGCAATTTACATGTTCTCTTAATTCATACTCGATTTGGAGGGGAAGGATGCTCCCTCATGACTTTAGGTCAAATATTCCACTTTGACATTGTCAGTGAGATGCAGATACTATTTTAATTAAAAATAAATAAATATATTGGCAGTCTTATGCAGGATTACAAGATGTCCAGAACCATTTAAAGGAGCTGGTTTTCAGAATGAGCATTCAAACAAAACCCAAGGTAATAAATGGAATGATTTGAAACCCTCAGCCAACTGACATTGCAGCCTTTAATATGGGCTCTAATCAGAACCTCTCAGGAGTCCTCTGAGGTTCATCTTTAGGCAAACAATAGAAGGAAATTGATTACAATTGTCGAATCACTATGTTGTACACCTGAAACTAATATAACCTTGTATGTCAACTATACTTCAATTTAAAAAAATTGATTGGGCAAGGCAAAAATGTGAAATGAGAGCATTCCTATAACTGAGAATTTAACTGGCTAAGGCTAAGATACACCCCATTCAATGGAATATATGTTCCCTTAGGAAACTGGCTATAAAATGACCTTCTATAACATAAATTCTTTTTTCTCATTCCGTTCAGTGTTAAACTGAAGATGAGTTCCAAGGAAGCAAAGATGGAAAAGGGGGATCACTGGAGTAAGAAGGAAACTGGTCAAAACCCAAGGAGTAACGGTTAAAATCAGATGCTCAGAGGAAAAAATGGACATTTACTAACTGAAATATAAAAAGGATACTCTCAAAGGGTCTCATAAAGTATAAGGACTTGCCAACTTTTAACATATCATACCCGGAACTGCACTGCTCTCGGGGAGAAGGAGATGCTTTAAATTCCATCTATGTCTCTCACTGTATTGTTCCCCTTTAAATTTTAGGCTTTCAAACTGTTCAAATTCAAGCCATTCTAACTTCAGCTGGATTCCCACTGCTACTTAGTATCCTTTTATTCATTTTGTTGACTCCCTGTTGAATTCCCTGCAGCAGCTACTCCAACCCTTTCCTACTATTTGCAAATGCCCCTCCCCCTCACTCATCAGCTATCCCTCCTTACTTCTCTATGATTTTACCACAGAATTATTCAGTAGGAGATCCCTCAACCTCCCTTCTCTCCTCCTACAAAGTTTTTTTTTCCATATTCTCTCTTATATTCTACTTCCTTCATCCTTCAGAAAATAAAAAGTCTCTACTCCCTTCGCTGATGCTCTTGACCCCTCTTACCTCCTCCAAGTCACTAATCTGGCAATTTTATTCCTACCTCTCTCTTTGGCATCTCCAATACCTCTCCCTCTCTACTTCTTCTTTCCCCATTTATTATTGAAAATGGGCAAGGCCAGGAACCTTAAGACAAACAAAAAATTTCCTCAACCCTAGGACTCTCAGCATGGTCTCTGGACCACCAGCATCAGCATTAGTGAGTACTAGATAGAAAAGCAAATTGTTGGACTCTACCCAAGAGCTCCAGAATGGGATTCTCTGGAAATGA